GGAAGAAGCACAGTCTTCAAAGGTAAGAGGCGTCGGATCCACGCAGGATCAATCTCTTCAGTGATGCTCAATCACTTTGGGGTTTGTAGGTGTTTGGGTTTAGGATTTTCCTCACTCGATGATTTTCGCTCAAAGTCCTCGGAGGATGGGTTGCTCCCAAATGACAAGTGTCAGTTTCTCTCGGAGCAGCCAACCAGCTAGTGGTTGTAGGGGGCGGCTATTTATAGCCTAGGGAGCAGCCCAACATGATAAGACATAAATGCCCTTGCCTGATATCACCATTAGGTGGATAAGATATTTTGGGACAACTGGCACGTAGCACAGCAACGGTCGGAAATTTGACTATCAAATTCCTCAGGGCTATCATGTTCCTCACTGTGTAGGCAATCCGCACTGGCGAATTCCTAACTCCTCAGTCAGAACAAATTCCTCAGCGACCAGAAGAACTTCGTCTCTGTTACTGTAGAAAGTGACTGAACTGTATGATATTTCCAAAGGCTTCACTCGAAGGGTTTGGTAGGTGTAGGATTTTGAGTTGAGCATCACATGGAAATTTTTCCTTAGTATTTCCTCGACCCCCTTTAACAGTACGGTGTTTCCTATGACTCAACAAAAGAGAAAAACAAAACTATGAAAACGAAAGTCTTCAAGCTTCATATTCCTCGCAAGAATATTAAGTCTTCACGGATACACCAATATGTTCACTTTCAAAGTCTTCATGAAAGTCTTCAGAAATACCAAAGTCTTTAGTCGAAGATATTCATTTTTAGGGGTCGACTTTCCCTGTAAATATCAAACTCCTCATAGACTTATAGACATGTGTACACTCACAAACGCATTAGTCCCTTAACCTATAAGTCTTCAATACACCAAAATCAATAAGGGGCACTAGATGCACTTACACCTGCGCTTCCCACCACGCTTCCTCAAGCATAGGAGGGCCACAGCAACACCTGACGGAAATGCTACCCCCCAGTTAGCACGTCCCATCTACCCCTGACACAGACGACCGCCGGATCTAGCCCTTTGACTTTCGCCGTACGGGGTTTGACCAGTGGACCTTTTTACCTGGTTGTCCTAGCCCATTCCATAGCTACAGCCCCGAACACTGTCCCGGCCCAACCCCCCCCCCCCAAGATTCCCTCTGTGTCGGGCCGACGTGGTCGTTTCCCCCCTCCGTGACACGGCAGCAGCGATGCTAGTGAGGGGGGTACACCCCGGAGCCGCGTGTCGGGTGCCTTCGCCGGCCACAACTCTTCCACAAGCGTAGGAGGGCCCACTAAAACACTTGGCGGCATTGCTACGCCCCAAGGTACCCCGTCCTGTCTAACCCTGACA